ATAAGCATATGTGTCATAGCAAGACGGCATGTGTGTGTGCAGCGATAGAGTTCCCCAAATTTATTGTATTTTGCACAATACAATGACAATAAAGACTTTATTTTCTTCATTTTTACTTGCATCAAACTTGTGTCTTTTCACATAAATAGAATGTTTAATACGCCAATAAATTAGACCTACGTCATTTTTCATTGCACCATTTTTGTGTCTTCCTTACAAAAGAACACAAACATGCACATTGTTAAAAAACACAATCACAATAAAAAACACGCGCTTTGTATTTGAGCCTAGCGTGACGTGAGGTAACGAAGCTTCGTTTTCACAGGTCACGTGACAGCCTCATTTCAAGCAATGCTCCAGAACACTGTTTCGAAGCACTAGTGTGTCAAAAACTCGAAACGTGTGTCGACACTAGGTGTCGATCTACCCATCCCTAATGTCTCGCACATTAGTGAAGTCAACAGGAAAGCAGGCACGTGCAGAGGGGGGTGCGGTGGGTGCTTGAGCACCTGCCCCTTTTCCCCTTAATGCCCAAAGTGCCCTTTTGTCAAGGCAATTTTTTATTTTTTTGTAATTAAACGCCATTTTGTGAAGGCCTGCCCAATCTAACTATTAGTAAAATTAATGAATTATAATTTAGTCGGTGGGGATAAAAAACATCCCGCGAACAGCACCGAAGTCCAGATCTGAATCAAATGATTCGCGATACGCGATCCGACTGGAGCGCTTCAAACCAGTGAATCATTTTGCGACGCAATGGTTTAACTGATTCGGAGTTTCAAAAAGCTCAGTTGATACTGTAAATGTTCTTTGCTCACTTTCTTATATAATTTATTCGTTGTTTGAATAACCGTGGAAATTAAATAATTAATCGGCCTAATGTTTTTATTAAATTGTGATCACGTTAATTAGCCTACAGTTTCCATCGTATTAAAACATTTCATGACATGACACACATTATCTGGTACTTGCCTAAAAAGACAGGTTTAGGATGTGCTTTGTTAACAGATTACACTAACAATCAGTTACTTTAATGCCTTACTCTGGAGTTGGGTCAACCTCCTCCTATGGAGAGAGAAAAAAGTTTTCAAAATCATCCACCCCTCTGCTTTTTTTCACAAATCGCACCCTGCTTATATTATTAAATTATTATTATTATTACAAGAACGGCGTGAAGAGAGCATGCACAGCTGTTGCTTATATTGCTGTCTGTAGCATGTGGAAGTAAGGTTATCTGCAGCAAGGGGCTATAATATTTTTGTTCAATATTTTCCTAATGACAATTTTATGATCGGTTTATAAAGGCTACTACGAGCACCTTTTCCCCATTTTTATCACAGAATAAGGCAGGAAATATATTGTATAGTTTCTATAGGCTACTAAATGATATGTCAATCAGTACTGCATTATTTGTATAGTTTATTTATTACCTGGAGATAGTTTGAAAAACACACATAAACCGTGTATTTTCGCAATCGTGTGTTTATTGTTTTCACGTTTTTTTCTGCTTTTTATTCAGCTCAGCTACAGTGATAGCCGATGCTTTTGTCCATATTAGGGATTCCCTGAACGTCATAAGTCATTCCTTCTATGAGTCTGTTTTGGACTTTCTGCATGAGAGCGCCCTCCGGCTTCGAGTGTGAATTAAACATACACTGCATGAGAGTGTTGAGCGCTCCAGATATTCACTTCTCCTCATTTTGGATAC